GGGGCCGGCCGTGGAGTGAGGGGCGCGCGGGTGACAGGTGCGGCGGGAAGGAGGGCGGCGACTGCGACGGCAGCGGCAGCCCGAGGCCTGAGGGGAGGGGACCCGCAGCGGCGATGCTGGAGACCCTGCGCGAGCGGCTGCTGAGCGTGCAGCAGGATTTCACCTCCGGGTGGGTATACGGTGGGCGACGGAAAGGGACCTGAGGGGGCCGGGGCCGAGGCGGGCGGAGGAGGCGGGCGGAGGAGCCGGGCGCTGTACGGGATGCCCCTGCCTGCCTCCCTCCCTCTCTCTCTTCGCCTCACCGCGCTCCCGGGTCCCGCCCCGCAGCTCTCAGCCCCGCCCCGTCCCGCCGAGGAAAGTAACGAACTTCCCGGCGTTGGCGGCCCAGAGTAACTTAGGTCGCAACGCGCAGGCTCTGATCGGCCCCCCGGCTGGGAAGTGGTGGGCAACGCGCGGCTGTGTGCGCTGGGGATGCCCCGGCCCCCCTCGGGCCCCCTCCGCTCCCCTCCCGGCAGCATCAGCCCGGCCGACGAGGGGAGTCATGTGAGAGGGGAGCGCGCCTCCCCGCTTCCGCCCCCGCGGGACGGTGGCGCTGCGGCCCCTCGTCCCCCGACTGCGAGACACTTGCCCGCTGCCCCCTCCTCTCCCTCCGCTCCCTCCGCCTCCCCAGGCCGGGGTCCGCCCGGGCCGAGCCGTCCGCGTCCCAGCAGCGCTCCCGCTCGGGGCCGGCCTAAGCCCTGGCGAGGCTGGCCGCCTGTTCCCTTCAGCCTTCTCTCTGTACCTTTGCCCTGGGTTTGCCGCCTCGGTGAAGGAACTCTTGGGCACGAGAAACAACAGAGCTATGGCAATGCTACTGACAACCAGTGGTTAAGGGCACAGATCAGGCGGTTCCCAAACTTTGCGTAGAAACACCTGGGAACCTTTCACAATCAAGACGCCCGAGTCGCACCCCATACCAGTTAAACCAGAATGACTGGGCACGGAGTTTTAAAGATGCCCAGGTGCTTCCAGTGTGCGGCAAAGTCTGGGAACCAGAGGCCTAGACTCTGGCGCCAGACTGCCCAGGTCCTCATTCTGGCTCCATGACTTAACCAAATGTATTTTTGCAAATTACTGGAAATGTCTTGACTCATTTCACTGTTTCTGTGCCTGTAAAATGGGGACGATGCTGGTGCTTATCTCATGGGATTATTCAGATGATTAATGAAGTAACTGGGAGTAAGCACTGTGACTATTATTAATTTAGTAGTTTATTTTAATTTTTTAATTACTTTAGAAAGGGCGTCGCCTTTATAAATGATCTGTCACCTTTAGCTTACACATCCTTTTGGAGAATCCTCTGAATGTGAGGTCATCCCAATCATAGTATGTTTTAAATTTCTAATGGGAAAGATGTTAGCCAAAATGTTATCTTATGGGAAAGAATGTTTATACTCTTTGTCTGTTGGGTACTGAAATAGTAACAAACTGGCAAATACTTGAGCACTAACCACATGTAAAGCATTTTTGTTTTAGTTTGGTGTTCTTAAGAATACTAATTGTAGATGTTCTAGGAGTCATTCATTGATGGGTGTGCTCGCATGCTTGCATTTTTTTCTCCCTATAAATTTAGAAAAAAATAACTTATTTTCAGAGTGTAAATTATTGAGAAAATTTTGGTAGCATGCTGGAATGGTCTACCTGTAGCATGAGAGTGGCCAAAGGTTAACCCATCTGCCTGTGCTGTTACTGCTTCAAGGAGTTCCTTGATGGCAAAACAGTCCATCTTCTGTAGTTACTATAACTGTCTAAGTCATATGGTTGCCTCAGAACCCATTTATGCTCCTGACCTTTGCTTGAGAAGGTTTCTTGCCTAGGAATACACATTCTGGACTGGGCTCTGGACTGTCCGGGCCCAAACCATCCTGGGGACATCTGGGTAACCCTAAAAGTTTAGAGTTTACTCAGGCAGAGGGACCAAGGGGATCTGGTTAGAAACTGACTTGACTTCTTGAAGATGCCATAGTCTAGGGCCAGTTTGGAATTAAACATCCTGAGAGGACTTCATTCCATTTAGGTCCTTTGTTGGTTTCCTCTTTGACCAGGTCATTCAGCTAACAAACCACTGGGCTGTCAGCATATGTCAGCCTGTCACCTGGAAGAGAAATAACTCATATCCAAGTGATGTCTGTCTTCCAGTTGACCAGCAGCTCTAAACTCTGATGTTTTCTTTCTTCAGAGCCTCAATTTCCTACACAATTCTTAAAAAGAAAAAACCCACTTAATTCATTTTTTTTTTTTTTGTCTTTTTTTTTTTTTTTGTCTTTTTTTTTTTTTTTTTCTCCCTGACCAGTAACGGGATTGCAACCCTCAGTGTCGCGCCCGTACTGGGGCCTGGCAACGGGATCGCAACCCTCGGTGTTGCGCCCGCACCGCGCTCAGCCAGTGAGCGGGAACCAGTCTCCACATGGGATCCGCACCCTCGTCGGGAGCGTCGCCCCGCTCCCAAGCGGCGCACTCTCCAGTGCGCCCCCGGGCCGGCCCCCACTTAATTCATTTTTTTTTTTTTTTCTCCCTGACCAGTAACGGGATTGCAACCCTCAGTGTCGCGCCCGTACTGGGGCCTGGCAACGGGATCGCAACCCTCGGTGTTGCGCCCGCACCGCGCTCAGCCAGTGAGCGGGAACCAGTCTCCACATGGGATCCGAACCCTCGTCGGGAGCGTCGCCACGCTCCCAAGCGGCGCACTCTCCAGTGCGCCACCGGGCCGGCCCACACTTAATTCATTTTATTAAACTCTCCCACATTCAGTTTGAGATCAGCCTATTTTACATAATTGAATATTTTTTCCTTGCTGAGAAAAGATGAAATTAAACACAGCACACATGTGTCTATTGCATAGAGGCACTGAAGGATTCAAAGATGGAAGGGACATGGCCCTTGCCACCCAAAACTATTACTTTGGGTGTTTATAATCCAGAGCAGCTGCCTTCTAAATAATTGGCAAAAGTGTTCGGGTTGCCCAGGGGAATTATTAGAAGGCCTTGTACTGTTCTGAGTTCCTTCAGTGTGGCCAGTGTTGCTCCTACAGTCACCCAGAGCAATGTCCTCTCCTTGGAGCTTTTCTGCTCATTTTCAACTTCTGAACATTCATGTAACTGGAGCTTTACTCTAGACAAATTTTTTTGGTTATTTATTTTTTTTTTAGTAAAATAGGACTGTTCTTTAGAAGTCTCATAAGAAAATGTCACATCAGTGGTTAAAGCATATCCAGTGAACATAATCAATTTCTACATTGCATTCAAACAGAAAAAATGAAACTTACTATCATGATTCTTAAAGGGCAGTATAGAGATTACTGGTGTTCTGGGGCGGCGGGGAGACTCTAGGTTTTCCATGGACTTGTGGCCATTTTTGTAAATTTTATTCATAGTGACAATTATGTCAACATTGAGGAAAAACCTAGTAACTATATATTCTTTCTGCTGTAGGTGGGTGGTGGGCCATTCCAAAGGCCACTGGAATAAAGGGCATTAGTTCTGGGTGCCTCACTCAGAGATCTTTTTCCTTCCCCTGAGTCCTAATTTTATTTAACTCGGAATTCTTGAAGTCTTTTGGGGGGTCCACATAGAACATGTATTTTTTTTAGATAACTGGCTTGAACTCTGAGGGAAGCAGTTGGACATACTGAAACACATAGTTTAAATCTACTTGGGTTTTCAATTTTTACCTTGTTACCAGTTATGACCAAAGGCCTCAGGATTGAGGTATTCAGGCATGCAGTACCCTTCAGGGAACTGAAAATCAGATTTAATGAAGGTTTGCAGCTGCCTGTCACAGGCTGGTGTTTCCTGTTTGTAAAGCTCTGAGTTCCTGTAAGAAAAAAAAAAAAAAAAAAAAAAACTGTTTAATACTTGTTGCAGCCAAACAGTGGGTGTTTCCCCCTCAAAACCATCACTACTCCCTGCCCTCCACCCCTGCCCAGTGTCCTCCTCCTCCTCTCTTCTGCTCCCATGGTGTCAAAACTGCAGAAGGAAAGGATCAATAATGTAGCTCATAGTGTGGTCAAATGGTGACGTTTTTCCTGAAGTGTTGACTTTTCCAGGATTACTTACCTTTTTAATAAGGAGAAGAAAACTCAATATTCAAGTTGATTTAATAAATATTTACTGAGTTCCTGCTAAGTACCAGACACTAGGCTAGACATTTGAAGTACCCTTTTTCATAGATGCTTAAAAAAGATTTGAGATGTCATATGCTCAGTTTTGCCTAGTGTTTACTAAGCAGTGTGTATATATCTAAAACAGTTTCTGCCCCCTGGATGTCCTAGACTGGTGGCAGTGTAAAGCAAAGCAGAATGAACTGAATGTTAAAGATAAAAATGTTGTGGAATGTGAATCCAGGGGAAAGAGGCATTAGTTGGGATTCATTTACAGAAGACTTTAAAGAGGAAGTGGCTTCTAAACTGGGCCTTAAAAAATGAGGAGAGATTGTGACAGATTTGGGTAAGGGCATTTCAGAGATGGAAGCAGTCTTGGGAGATGAAACGGGAAGGGATATTTAGTTTATTACCAGGCGATAATAGAGGATCTTCATTGCTTTGTTTAATTAATTAATCAAATATTTATTGAGCTTTTACTCTGTGGCAGGCACTATTCTAGATGCTGAGGATATTACAGAGAACAAACCAGACAGCAGATAATGTCCCTACTGTGGCAGGAGGCAGATTATCTAGAAGGTTATAAGTACTGTGGCTAAATATCAGGTTAAGGCATAGAAGGCCCAGCTGTATTTCTGGAAAAGTATGTTTGCATTTCTGGAAGAATATGTTGGAAAGCAGTGTGATAAGAAGATTAGGTATGGAGAACAGGGAGATTATTTAGGAGGCTGTACTATGGACCAGTTGAGAAATGATAAGGCAGAGCTGGTAGAAATTTAAAGGTGGGAATGGATGTGACAGGCAATGGTTGAATTTGTCAACAGTGAGATGTGGGAGATGAAAAATTGCAGAAATGGAGAATGTTAATTTTGGGGTATTTTAGATAAATGGTGTCATATACCAACATGAAAGCATTTAAGAATAGGTTTGAGAGAGAAGGAGGAGTTGACAGTGAATTTGTTGTGAGGTAGTTGCTTGACATCCAAGAAGCAGTTGGAAATTTGAGACACTCATGAGAGAGGTCAGAACTGAAGTGGTGTGTTTGGGGTTAATGAGGATAAAGATGGTCTAAATCACTCTCCCTTTCCTGAGAGTCTGTGCGACTTTTGTGTGAATTTCTAAGCCTTTGGAGCTTAGGGGTCATTTATACTTTTAAGTATCATCAATGTTTTTGCTCTTCCCTGTTCTTGTTTTGAAAGAGAAAAAATTGATAAATACTAATGTGAAAATATAATAGATTGGGTTTGTGTTTGTAAACAGAATTTAAAGTTAGAATAATGTAAACATGAACATGGTTAAAAGGACTTGAGCATTATGATGAAATATGCTAATTAATGTTTTCATGGTGTTTTAAAGCAGTCATCCAAATATAGTAATTATCCTGATTTGAACGTCACATATTGCACACAGGTATTGATATTCAATGCTGTACCCCGCAGATATGTACAATCAATTATGTTTCAATTTAAAAAAATAATAAGGCAGTCATCCTTACTTTTCCTCATAGCTGATGATGTAGACCAGTTGGAAATTGAGGTGCAAATAAGTGAAATGCCACCTAGGTCACCCCACACAGTCAAGTCAGCTGGAGAAAGCAGATCTGTTCATCAGTCATTGTGAGGCTCCATGCATCATTCTGTTCATCTACTTCTTTTTAAGCTTCTTGCTGGTCACTTTCATTTCTTAGTAAGATGACTCCATTTTAGTATTTTCTACACAACTTAAAGAAATAAATGTGCTTGTACCAAATTAAGGTAAGTCTGTGGAGCCATCTAAAAATAAAATTATTGAACTGTTGTGATAAATTTGAGATTTAGTGCTTTGAACTTGAAAGTGTACATTAGTTGCCATTAGGAGAAAATAGTTGTCAGATGGCTCACTTAAGTCTGTGTATTAATATACTCCCACAGTAGCACTTCTGTCTTCCTGGGGGCGTTTGGAATCATGAAAAAAATTGAGGATGGAGCTGGGCAAGCCTTTTATACGAACTGGTGCATTGGGAACCTCCACTTTATTTCACTCTGGTCCATTAACATACATAGTTTTTCAGCTTTCTTGATGGTAAAAATTTTTATTAGACCTTTCATTTGAATTAGCTGTATAGTTTCCAGAACGCCACCAAGGTCATATCTTTATGGTTGATTGTAATACTCCCATTTTATGTTTGAAGAAACTGGGGTTTTCTCCTTAAATTAGTTTCTTTTCCAGTGTGTCATGACAGTGTGGGACATTAAATAGACTTTATGAGTGGGGTTGTTTCCAGTACAGGATCAGTGTGAGAAGCTTTAGTAGAGTTATTCCAAAGTAAAAATGGTAGGCTATGGCCAGCTGCCAAAAAGCAAAACAAAACAAAATGGTAGGCTACTTTCAGTTGAATTCTGGATTTTGAGGATGTATTTTAGAAATGAACTTTTTGCTTTTTGTTACTTCGTTAAATGTATCTGACTTTATATTTTTTTCATCTTAAGATAATAATAGCTGTCATAACCCTTCATCTTTTTTTCTCTTGAACTTTCTTGACTGTTTCCAACTTTCTGCTAGCTACTTAATGTTTTCTCCAGCAGTTTCTATTGTAGGTTTTTGCACATTGATGATTTCTTTGGAGAAGGTGTGGTAAGAAAAGATGAATATTTAAAATATTAAAATGTTTTTGTAGTTAAAAAAACTTTTTTACAAAGTTTCAAACATACCCATAGAATAACATAGTGAATCCCATATACCCATTACTCATATTCAACAGTTTTCAGATACAGTATTGCCACATGTGCTTTGTCCCGCTGTTTATTTATAAAGTAAATCTCAGACTTGTTTGTTACAGTCTCACATGTCGGTTTGCATAGCTTAAAAAAATACGGACACTACATAAATGCAGTGCTGATGTCATAGCTAACAAAATTAACACTAATTCTTTGATATTATCAATTATTCGGCCCTTAATCAGATTTCCTTGGTTCTTACAAATGTATTTTTATAGTTTGTTTAAATCCAGATCACATGAGTTCCACACGTTATATTTGGTTAAAGACCAATTTTTAAAGCAGATGGTTGTTAAGGAGCCACATGGGAAAGCTAATTGAATCTTCCAACAATTTTATTTTCAGCTCCCTGTAACACTCTTCCTTTCCCTTTTACACCAAAGTAATTTCTTCTTTTTTTGAGGGGGGAAGGGGGGATAAACTTAGTATATTACAGTTTAGAAATTAAAAGGTTGTTTTGGAAATAAATATTTGAAATACCAGCCTAGAGATTTGCTAGATCACATAATTAGAGTGGTCAAAAAAGGATCTTAGCAATACCCTTTTACATCTAACTGTGTAGAATTGTCCCAAATTACTAAAAATAATCCTAGAATCGTTTTGAGTATTACTCACTGCTGTATGTAACTATTCTAGGATACTTCTACCTGGGATGTCTCAACTAAGTGCCTTTCTTGAATTTTGTAGTGGAAATGGTAGAGCATGGCTATCAAAATATCTTTCCCTAGCTTTTGCTTGATCTTAGTTTAAACCAGACTTGCTAATTTCCAAGGTAAACTTAGTTAGAATTCTGTACATTTTCCTAGACTCATCTGGAGAGATATGCAAGTTAATTTTGAATTAAAGAGATTGCCAAATCTTTTGGATACTATATAGAAATTAATCTCATCAATATTTTATTTTTTTTGAAAAAGATCATGGAGTAATATAAAACTCTTTGTATGAAAGTAGCATTCCAATTTGGTTAAAAGATGCATTTGATCAGCAGTCCCTTTCTTGTGCTTCACCAAGCATTATTGACCTCGGGAAAAAAAAAAAAAGATGGAATTCTGTTAGGGCCTGCATGTATAGATATGCAGGTTGTACACTGTACAATGCAGGGTTGAGGCATTCTTGTAAGCGTCAGCTTGTATATTAAGACAATTTCTGGCTGGTGGCAGTAAAGTGTCTTGAGGAAAGAGTACCTATTTATATTTTTGCAAAGACTTTGTAGGGGCTAGCAGTGGTACTGTGGCCTGTGTTTTAGGTTCTATTTAGAAGTGAATATTTGTTAAAGTAATTAAATTAAGAAGAACATGTATAGCAGTATCTCATTTTATGTGAGATTATCTCATAATTTAGCACTTGCTTATTGGCAACCCCAATTATATGTAACGGAATCTACAGCCAAAAGAAAGTAAAACTGGGCCAGTGAAACAAAAATAAATTGTACAGTGTATTCATATTTTAAATATTTCAACTTCATATTTTAAATTTAGAAAAGCCCATTAATTTAATTTTATATATGCGGTTCTAGCCCATTTATCTGTTTTCCAACTCAATAATTTAAAAACAGCAAATAGAAGGGGAGAAGGCTGCTATTAATTAAATAGCTAGCAGAAGCAGTAAGTGGTAGCTGATAACCAGATGACCAATGGTAGAGATAGAAAATTTAGAAAAAATAGACACAGGAGCCCAGACACAAACAAAACTACCATAGATTGGTTTCAGATTAGTAAATGAGGATGTATTCCTAGCTTAGAAGCATCCGAGGAGAATGCTGTTTTGACACAAAATTCAGTCAGTGGTGTTCATAATAATGACCTATAGTTACCAGAAAATGTTAAATGGGATATCCAAGTCATCTTTAATGAATGAAATTTGTAATATTAGTTTAGAAAGATTTTTATCAATTAAATTTCACATAATGAGGGTGATTAAAGAGTTTGGAGTGCCTGGGATAGTATCTGCTTAATAAAGTATGCTGCTTAGATGTCTTTGTTACCTATCAAGTTTGCCTATGTGGACCACTGCTTTTTCTAACAGTGTCAGATAAATTAGGTGTCTCTAGTCTGATCACATTTAGGAGTCATTGTTTCTTTTAAAAAAGGGATTGGGGGGCAAGTAAAAATATAAAGATGTTTGCTGTGGAATTTTCCATTTGTGGTTACTGACATATAATAAACACTCATATTTATTGTCTGTAGAGGTGCTTAATTCTTGCTTTAAAAAAAAAAAAAAAAGCTTATCCAACCTAAAATTTTAACAGCTGTGAAAATTTGTGGTTGAAAAATCTCTTGACCTGTAAAATTTTATATTTTATATTTGTTGAATTATAGGCTGAAGACTTTAAGTGACAAGTCAAGAGAAGCAACAGTAAAAAGCAAACCCAGGTAAGCTTGTGCTAACATTTTAATTAACCATGACATAAATGTCGTACAACTTTTGGTTGTTCATAATAGAATAATTACTTAAATGGGTTTTAGAGTTGTTGAGTGCATCTGACTACAAAACAATTTATTGATTCTTTTCTAAATTTTGTAACACAGGACAATTTTCTGATAAAATTGTGAAATGTTTAAAAAAAGTGAAGTATAATTGTTTGACAATCAATGACTATTGTTTGATCATAATTAACCATTTTTAACTTGTATGTTAAGAGCAAAAGTTAAAGTCCTGCATTATTAAAAAGCAAATTGATAATGAAACAATACTTGGCAAGTGAGTCTCTAGCTATGTTATCTGCTTTATATGAAAACACCGATATTGTGGTGTTCTTTTCATTTTTTTAATAAAGTGTGTGACCAAATTTCACTTTGAACCTAGAGGTGATGAGCTTTGATTATGTATATTTACTCTTATTATCTAGCATTATATTAAAGTGTGTACTGTATTATATGCTAAAAACTGTATGGGGCAAAGTGATGGTTAATAGTACTCATATATTACAGTATATTGACTCTGAAATAAAACAGTACATATCTCTAAAGTTTAGATAAATTGTCATTAGTGATTTTAAAATACCTTACATTACAATTGACTGTCAAAATTCTTGTATGTAACTTTTTTTTTAGTTGGCTAAATCAAAGAATTTTAATAAAATCAGTGTTTCTTTTGGCAGGACTGTTTCATATTTGCCAAAGTACTCTGCTGGACTAGAATTACTTAGCAGGTGAGTGTTTAGAGAGAAAGATTATGCTTCTGACTATTTTATTGACTAAAAATATCTTATAACTTAATAGGTAGAAATCTTAAAACACCTAAATTTTACCTTAATATAGCAAATAGAAATTATTTACTTATTTTTTCCATTAAGGCTTTCACTTTTCATTGGCTTCACTTTTCAGTGGTTCAAAGGCCATTCACAGTTTGATCACTATTGTATTTACTTATTATGTGTATTTATTGTAAGTGTTGTTTCTTTGTTGCAAGAAAATTGATTCTGAATTTGAATCTTCAATAATTTTGTTTCCTACTTTGATTTGTAATTTTATATCATTTTTTCCCAATCCATTCCTATTGACACACAAATTAATATTAAAATACATGGTCGTCTTTGACATGACACTAAAAACACAAGCAACAAAAGAAAAAAAATAGATAAATTGGACTTGATGAAAATTAAAACTTTTTTGCTTCAAAGGACATCATCAAGAAATGAAACAAGCACCCACAGAATGGGAGAAAATATTTGCAAATTATATATTTAATGAAAGATTTGTATCCTGAATATATAAAGAACTATTATAGCTCAACAGTAAAAAGACAACCCAGTGAAGAAATTATAATTTTAAAAAATTGTGGTAAAATACATATAACATAAAATTTATCACCTTAATGTTCAGTTCAGTACTGTTATCACCTTAACCATTTTTAAATATACAGTTCAGTACTGTTGAGTACATTCAGAGATTGGTTGTGCATCCAGTCCTCAAAACTCTTTTAATCTTGCAAAACAAACTCTGTACCCATTAACCAGCAACTCCCTATTCTTCTTCCCATTCTCCCTGCCCCTGGCAGCCATCATTCTACTTTCTGTCCCTATGAATTTGACTACCCTCGGTACTGGATATAAGTGGATTATATAGCATTTGGCTTTTTATGACTGGCTTATTTCACTTAGCATAATGTTTCCAAGTTCATCCGTGTTGTAACGTGTCAGAATTTTCATCCTTTGTAAGGCTTGAGTAATATTCCATTGTAAGTATGTACCGCATTTTGTTTATCCATTTATCCTGTCGCTGGACACTTTGGTTGTGTCCACCTTTGGCTATTGTGAATAATGCTGCTAATAATATTTGTACATGTGTGTACGAATATCTCTTTGAGACTGTGCTTTTCGTTCTTTTGGGTATATACCCAGAAGTGGAATTGCTGGTTCATGTGGCATATGATAATTCTATGGTTAATTTTTTTAGGAACCACCATACCGTTTTCCACAGTGGCTGCACCGTTTTACATTCCCACCAGTGCACAAGGATTCCACTTTCTCCACATCCTCACCAACACTTGTTATTTTATGTTTTCATTTTGTTTTTTTATTATAGCCATTCTACTGAGTATGAAGTGGTATCTTGTGGTTTAGATTGGCATTTCCCTAATAACTGATGTTGGTGAGCATCTTTTCATGTGCTTATGGCCATTTGTATACCTCCTTTGGAGGAATGTCTGTTTCTTGCCCATTTTTGAATTGGGTTATTTGTGTCATTTTGTTGAGTTTTAGGTGTTCCCTACATATGATGGATATTAACCCCCTATCAGATGTGTGATTTTCAAATAATTTCTCCATTTCCTGTGTTGTCTTTTTACTCCATTGATTGTGTTCTTTGATGCACAAAAATTTAAAATTTTGATTAAGTCCAGTTTGTCTATTTTTTCTTTTGTTGCCTGTGCCTTTGGTGTCATATCGAAGATATCATTACCAAATCCAATGCCATGAAGATTTTCCCCTGTGTTTTCTTCAAAGGGTTTTATAGTTTTAGCTCTATATTTGGGTCTTTAATCCACTTTGAGTTAATTTTTGTATATGGTGTTAGGTAAAGGTCCAACTTTATTCTTTTGCATGTGGATTTCCATTTTTCCCAGCATCATTTGTTGAAATGAATGAATTTTTAAAATTTTTTTTAAAATTGTGATAAAAATGCATATAACATTAAATATATCATCTTAACCATTTTTAAGTGTACAGTTCTATAGTGTTGAGTATATTCACATAGTTGTGCTACCCAGCTCTCATTCATTGAGTGGTCTTGGCACCGTTTTCAAAAATAATTTGACCATATATACAAGGGTTTATTTCTGGGCTCTCTATTTCATTGATCTATATGTCTGTCTTTATGTCAGTAACTACACTGTTTTGTAGCTTTGTAGTCAGTTTTGAAATCAGGGATTATAAGTCCTCCAACTTTGTTCTTCTTTTCAAGGTTGTTTTGGCTATTCAGTGTCCCTTAAGATTCCATATGATTTTTAGGATGGATTTTTTTCTGTGCATGCAAAGAATGTCATTGGGATTTTGATAGGGATTGCATTGGATCTGTAGATCATGTTGGGTATTATTAACATCTTAATAATATTAAGTCTTCTAATCCATGAACATGAATTTCTTTTCATTTATTTACATCTTTAATTTCTTTCAAAGATGGTTTTGTAGTTTTCATTGTATAAGTCTTCCACCTTCTTGGTTAATTTAATTCCTAGGTAATTTTTGGATGCTATTATAAATGAAATTATTTTCTTACTTTTGTTTTTGAATTGTTTATTGTTGGTACATAAAAACACAACTGACTTGTGCTGATTTTGTTTATTCTTAACAGGTTATTTTGTGTGGAATCTTTAGGGTTTTCTGCAAAAGAAATCATATCTGAACTGATCATATGTGAACTGAAATCATTTTACTTCTTCCTTTCCAGTTTAGATGCCTTTTATTTCTTTTTCTTGCCTAATTGGCTAGGACTTCTAGTACTATGTTTATTAGAAGTGGAAAAAGCAAGCATTCTTGTCTTCTTCCTGATCTTAGCAGAAAAACTTTGTCTTTCACCGTTGAGTATGTTAGCTATGAGCTTTTACTTCATTGAGATAGTTTCCTTCTGTTCCTAGTTTGAATGTTTTTATCATGATAGTGTTACACTTCCCACTGTGTAACAGAGATGAAAAAAGGATTACTCAAAGCACCATGAATGCATTGAGAAGCCCGAAGGGTCTGCATCCCAGAGAAAATTGGGTACAGCCACCATTCAAAGTTAGCTTCTATTTTTTACTGTAAAGACAAGGAAGTTTCACAAGAAAATTCAGTTGATTCAATCATTACAAAAGGACACAAGGATATGGGCAGTGTTACAAAAGTTATCTATGGTTAAGTATAGCTTAAGCAATGGAAACTAGTAACATCAGTAAAATTAATGATGTGACATTCCAAAGTACAATTAGTGAAAAGCTAAGTTGGTCAAACTGGTTCATTACCTAAAGTGTAACCTCTCCTTAAGAAAGAGTTACATTCTTATGATAAAATCTAAGTACAATTATTTCTAAAGTTTCCCCCAACAGACAGCTTGCCCCTAGCATTTTTTTTCACATCTTTTCCTTCAGCAGTTCTGAAAATCTCTTAACAGTATCAGCATGACAATCACCTGTTAACTCTAAAATCATTAAAGTACACAATCCCATACCTAAGCAATGATTAGAGTTGATTAGATGGGCTGTGGCCCCCTACGCAAGGGCTTTTGCCCCAATATGTATTTACCTAAAAACTCTATTCTAAAAATTAAATGAGAATCAACATTATTTAATTAGAATTGATTAAATGGGCTTTTGCACTCTATCTGTAGACTTTGGTCTTCTATCCGAGGGCTTTTGCTTATTCTTTCATTCTGTTAGTAAGGTGATAGATTTTTATATATTGAACAATTCTTGGATTCCAGGAATAAATCCCACTTGATCATGGTATATAATCCTTATTATATGCTGCAGGATTCAGTTTGCTAGTATTTTGTTGAGGATTGGTCTGTAGTTTCCTTTTCTTGTAGTGTCTTTGTCTGGCTTTGGTATCAGGGCAATGCTGGCCTGGTAGAATGAATTAGGATGTGTTCCCTCCTCTTCATTTTTTTTTTTTTTTTTGGAAGAGTTGGAGAAGGATTAGTGTGGGTTCTTTTTAAAATGTTTGGTAGGGCTGGCCAGTTAGCTCATTTGGTTAGAGTGGGGTGCTGATAACACCAAGGTGAAGGGTTCAGATCCCCACACTGGCCAGCTGCTGGGGGTGGGAAATGTTTGATAGAATTAACCAGTGAAGCCATCAGGTCTGGGTTTCTTTTGTTTTTTTTTTTAAATCTTAAGGTTTTTGATTTCTGATTCAATTTACTATTTTTTCAGAGTTTAGACTTGGTAGGTTTTGTGTTTGTAGGAATTTTTCCACTTCATGTAGGTTATCCAACTTATTGGCATACAATTGTTCATAGTACTGTCTTATAATCCTTTTTATTTCTGTGGAATTGGTAGTAATCTCCTCACTTTTATTTATGGTTTTAGTAATTTGATTTCTTTTTTTCTTAGTCAATCTAGCTAAGGGTTTGTTAATTTTGTTAATCTTTTCAAAGAAGAATATTTTGGTTTCATTGATTTTTCTCTTTTTTTTCCTGGCTTATTTATCTCTGCTCTAATCTTTATTATTTTCTTCCTTCTGCAAGCTTTTGGTTTAGTTTGTTCTTTTTCTAGTCTGTTACGTTTTAAAGTTAGGCTGTTGATTTGAGATCTTTCTTCTTTTTTTAATGTAAGCATTTGTAGCTATAAATTTCCCTCTCAGTACTGCTCTCCCTGCATCCCATAAATTTAGGCATGTTGAATATGTACTCAGTTGTCAAGTAGAATGTTTGCCATATGTCTGTTAGATCTAGTTGTTTTATTGTGTTGTTCAAGTCCTCTCTTTCCTTATTTGTCTTCTGTCTGGTGGTTCTATTCATTATTGAAAGTAGGGTATTGAATTTTTCAACTCTTGTTGGAGAATTGTCTATTTCTCCCTTCAGTTCTGTCATTTTTTGCTTCAATATATTGATGGTCTGTTATTAGCTGTGTAAATGTTTCTAATTGTTACTTCTTCTTGCTTTATAGACCCTTTTATTAATATATAATGTCCTTGTTTGTCTCTTAATTTTTTTAAAGTTATTTTGTCTGATATTAGTATCACCATCTGTATTAGTCTGTTTCTGTTGCTTATAACAAAATACCTGAAATTGGGTGATTTATAAAGAAAAATGAAATTTATTGCTTACAGTTTCTGAGGCTGGGAAGTCCAAAGTCCATCTAGATGTGGTGACAGTGACCCTGGGGTCTTCACATTGCAAGATGGTGGAAACAGAGAGAGAGGGAGAGAGAGAGATTCTCTTCTCTCTTCTTTTAAAGACCTCAGAACCATGCCTCTGATGACCATTTTTAACTCATCCACTACAGCATAGTCCTACAATCTAATTACCTTTTGAAGGCCCCACCTTTCAATTATCACAATAGGATTTCCCACCCTCTTAACAGTCACAGTGGGGGCCAAGTTTCTAATACATAAAACTTGGGAGACACAATTCAAGCTTCAGTGAGTTTAGGGGGGACATAATTCAATCCACTATACCATCCATGTACTCTCTTGGTTTCTATTTTCATGGAATATCTTTTTTTTCATCCTTTACCTTCAACATGTTTGGGTCTTTGGATCTAAAGTGAGTTTCTTGTAGACAGTATATAGTTTGAGCATTTTTTAAAAAAAAATCCTTCTGCCGATCTCTGTTTTTTGATTGAAGAGTTTAATCCATTTACATTTAAAGTAAATACTAGTAAGGAGTAAAGGAAAATAATTACTAGTAATTACTAGAACTTGTGTCTTTTTCTTACTTCTTTTCTATATGCCTTATAGCTTTTCTGTCTCATTTTCTGAGTTACTATCTTCTTTTGTGTGTAATCAATTTTTTTGTAGTGAAACACTTAAGTTCTCTTATTTCCCTTTGTATACAGTCTATTGCGATTTTCTTTGTGATTATCATAGGGAATACATATAACATCCTAAAGTTATAACACACTAATTTTCATTTATACAAGTTTAACTTCAATAACACACATAAAAACTCTGACTCTGTATAGCTTCATTCCCACCCACTTTTAGTTATTCATGTTACAAAATTACACCTTTATATATGTGTGTGCAAAAACAGACTAATAACTGGTTTTGTTTTTTGATGCATTAGTCTCCTAATGTAGAAAACAAAAAGTGTAGTTACAAATAATAGTTATATAATATTAGCCTTGATAATTGTGCATATATTGTCATATATTGAGGGGTCTTCAAAAGTGCATGGAAAGATTCATATTATCTTGATTCCATTTTGAAGTACCTCATATTTCTTTTGCCAGAGATCTTTATTTCTTTACATGGCTTTGCATTACTGTCTGATGTTCTTTCCTTTAACCTGGAGGACTCCCTTTAGCATTTCTTGCAGAGCAGTTCTAGCGATAACAACCCCCCTCAGCTTTTGTTCGTATGGGAATGCCTTAATTTCTCCCTCATTTTTGAAGGATGGTTTTGGTAGACATAGGACTTTTTGTTGAGTTTTTTCCCTTCAGCACTTTTAATATATTAACCCTACTGCTTCCAAGGTTTCTGATAAGAAATCTACTGATAATCTTACTGGAGATTCCTAGTAGCAACTTCTTGTTGCTTTCAAGATTCTCTTGAAAATCTTTGTCTAGTAAATCCATCATCTGGTCTTTCTTGGGGGCATTTTCTATTGATTTACTTTTTTCCTTTGAAAGGGCCATACTTTCCTGTTTCTTTGTATGCCTTTTTAATTGAAAACTGGACATTTGAATTGTGTACTGCAGTAACACTGGAGATCAGATTTTCCCCTTTCCCCAGGGTTTGCTCTTTCTCTTTTGTTTTTTGATTGTTGTAGTGTCTCTGTACCTGTGACCAGCCTGAGGTGTAAACTTGAGGTCTCCTTAGATCTTTTATGAGCCTGAGCATTCACTGGGCAGTTGAACTGGGCAATGTGTGGTGACAGCCTATATTTACTTGTATTTGTGGTTGTGTTTGAATGTCCTCGTCCTTAAATATCTGGTTCCTTAAGAGGGAAAAGAGAAAAATGAAGGGAGACAAAAACCAGATGTGGGCCTTTTAAATCCTCTGAAAGTCACTTTAGTCAGAGTAGGAGGGATTTGCAACAATGGCTGCCTCTGTGTCTGCACCTCTCTTATCAGAAGCAGTAGTCAGTGACCAGAGCACAGATCCCTGATATTTGGAGGACAGGGTTCTTATTGGCCCACCCTGGCTTCCACAAACTGTGTACAAGCTACTTCAGGAATGAGTGTATGGCTTCCTGCCATGGGGTTTGGGGATGGGTAGTTGCTACTATGCTAGGAGATGAAATTGACTGAAAATAACCTAAATTCACCTTCTAAGCTTTCCCCTGGAAGTTGCAAGCCTTCAATAGACTCCAGAGTTTCAAATTAGTTACATCACACAGATTCTGCCAGTGCAATTGTGGTCTAGGTGGGAGACAGATTCCTGGTGCTTCCTACTTTGCCATTTTGCCTCTACCTCCTAGATAATAATTTTTTAAGTGATGTAGTATAACACAGTCAAGAAGTAGTCTCCTATATTCCCATAGCTCTAATGCTTTATAATTAGCACTTTCCTTCGTCTACCTAACAAGGTAATTATTTACGTGTGTGTTAGTCTTCCTGCCTGTATTGTGAACTCTTCTACTAGTCTTGCCATGGTATATATAGAAGATGTTCAGTAATTGTTGGAATGAATGAATTATTACATTATGAGTGGAGTTTCTTTTCCATTCCTTTAGCATTGACTTCAAATTTTAAATATAGTTTGAACATAGGAAAATGGAAGGAGTTTACTTCCAGGGTCTTTATCTCACCAAAATGGTGTGGTAAGGTCATCCATCTGTTGAAAGTGATTGGATGGGGATGGGTTTCAAGGCTGTGTGAGATGTATAACACCTGCTGTGTGTACTATAGGGCACAATCTAATAGGAATGAATGTTTTAAAGTGCTGGTTGGCAGGTAAGGCCCATGCATGCTTGGATGGCATGCATTTGTAATTGACCGCATGCCTTTCTCTAACAGTGCTCCACAGTGTAGGAGTAGAGCAGAGAAAATGAATGGTTGGGATAATCTAGGTTTAGAGAATGGCAAAGACAGTAGGAAAATCATGCACTAGGTGCTGAACTAGGAAGGTAGATGTAAGGGAAGGTAATATAATGGCAAGGACAGTATGGAGAGCATACATAATAAGGGGGGGAAGGAGACAGTGAGAGATAGTAGGAAAAGAATGATCTGGAGTCTAAATGGCAAGGATTAATTTGCTCTTTCCCACTCACTGGAGAAAGTGATAGAAAATTTTATGATGAAGCCCTGAATTTTTAACTTGCAATTAGTGTGTTTATTCCTTCACTCAACAGATGTTTAATAAATGTCTGTTATGTGTCAGGGTCTGTACTAAGTACTGGGACAACAAAGATGCAAAAGTAAAATTCATCTCAGCAGTTCTGGTTCCTGAGTGCCTGGCATTCAATAAATACTGATTTTAATTGATACTTAACACAGTCTGATACACCAGAGAAAATGTTCAAGCTTTCTGTTAGTCAACAATAACAGCAGGACTGTATTCACTATGTGACCTTCCACCTTGCTTTTTATTACAGGCAGGTTCTAGTATAGTCTGTTTTGATTATTCAGATTTATTTTCCAATTTAAATTCAACAGAAAAATTGTGAATCTCTACATGATGAGGGGAGGCAATATAAACTCATCAAATATGTATGCCATTTGGAGAATTATCAGTTGGGTAGCTAGAATTTTAGATAAGATGAGAAATCAAGTTTTACATCAGCAACTGTATGAATAATAGTTCAGAAATAGTTTTTGTTTTTGTTTTTTCACTTTTCATTTTGAAATAATTTCAGACTTAGAAAAAAGTTACAAAAATAGAACAAAGAATTACAACTTTCCCAGTGTTATATTACATAACCACAGTACAATATTCACAATCAGGACATTAACATTGGTAAACAATTTAATCTACAGACCTTAGTCAAATTTCATCAATTGTCCCACTAATGCCCTGTTTTCTGGACTAGGATCCAATCCTATTTAGTCACCACATTTCTCCTTATCTTCTTTAATCTAGAACAGTTCTCAAATCTTTGTCTTTGACCTTAACAACACTTTTGAGGAGTACTGGCTAATTATTTTTCAAAACATACATCAATTTGGGTTTATCTGCTATTTTGTGATTAAATTCAAGTTAATGCTTTTTTGGCAAGAATATCAGAATAAAATGTCCTTCCCAGTGCCTCCTATCATTACGCACATGATCTTGATGTGTCTTATTACTGTTGATATTAATTTTGATCACTTGGTTAAGGAAGTGTCTACCAGGTTTCTCTGCTGTTAACACTGATTTCCCCTTTTTAGTTAATGAATATCCTGTAGGGAGATACTTTGAGACTATGTAAATATACTGTTTCTCTCTATACTTCTACCCACTAATTTTATCATCCATTAGAATTCTTTAAGAAACAATTATTACTGTTGTGTTTACCAAATGGTGGTTTTTCTCTTTCCATCATTTCTTATACAATTACCAATTGGAATTCTACTGTAAGGAAGAGTTTTTCTCATCTCTCCCATTTATTTATTTATTCAATTATTTATATCACTGTAGACTCATGGATTTTTGTTTTATTCTTTGAGTTATAATCCATTACAACCATTACGTTTTTTGTGGTCAAATTGCCATTGGAAGCTCCTTCAGGTTGACTTCTGTGTCTTTGCAACATTCCCACATTATTTTTTGAACATTTCCTTGTGGCACAATAGGATGTTCCAAGTTCATCTTTAGATAGTATTTCTTTTTAATGTGTGGTTTGCATTTCAGATTATTTTTTGCTTTTCTTAGGTATGAAGATACATGGGCTGCACTTCACAGAAGAGCCAAGGAATGTGCAAGTGCTGGAGAGGTAAAGAATTGGCTAATCTTATACCTGTGGTAAAATTTCTGTTTTCAGTGTCAAATGCTAGTTTTTAAAAAATTAGATATATAATTGTATTAGAATGTTTTGCAAGATATCTGAAACTGAATTTAGTAGTTTATTATGAGACTTCCTGAATAAAGCACCTTTTTACAGTTTCTCAGTCAAGTAATGTACTTTAGTTGGACTAGACAGTTTACAACTTTTATTCTAAGGACAAGTAAATATTTGATTTATCTAGGTATAATCCTTTGAATTTGAATCTGATGAATTTGCAATATGTATAAATTATAAGATGTAATCTCTTTCTACCCACTATTTAGAAATTGCTTATTTGGTCAAAAGCTTAACTAAGCTTAGTCTACGTAAAGTCATTAATTTGCTTAGCAAATACAAAATTTTGGCGATCATCCTCAATTCACTTAGAAATAAAAACTGCTTTCAAGCACTATGTATAGAGTATATAATGAATAAGAATGACTTGTAAGTAAAATTATTTGGTACATGTACTTAAAGATCTATTAGCCAAGATCAAAATCTCTGTGCTGTTGATGTCAGTCAAACTGTTTATCTTTCTAGAAAACATTTCTGTGATTCTGATATTTAATTAATTTAGACTCAGTTTCTTTACCATTTACCTAAATTAGTGAAGCTGCAATAGTTGTTTAGAACTTAGGAATATATAGGATGAAATTTAGGCTCTAGCATTTCTCTTAGAAGTTACTGAAAACGGGGGAGGATGTAGGTTTCTGGAAGTAAGGCAGACTAGATACTTTGGAAAACTCTACAGCTATAAAACACTTAAATGCTGAATGTATTTTTAGAAGTGAGCAAGGAATAAGGCACTCTCAGACATGATTTTAAAGTCATTGAAATTAAAAACCTAAAAGATGTGTTTAACAGGAATTATATGCAGCTGAAGAAAGAATTAGTAAAGTAAGAGTCAAAGAGATTACCACAAAGTATCTCTGAGATAAGAAAATGGAAAATATGAATAGTTATAAAAGGTCTTTAGGTTGTACCAAGTGAGACTGCCAATATTTGACCAGTTTTGATCGATAAAATAGCAGTTTCATACTGGTCAGCCCATATATCCAGTAAACATTCCAGAAAGAGAGAATGAGGGAGAGACAATATAAGAAAAGATAAATGGCTGATAATTTTTCATAAATGAGATATGTAAATCCTTAGATTCAGAACATACAACAAGCAACCAAGACAAATAATTATCCACACCTAGACACCTCATATTGAAACTACAGAACACTAAATGCAAGGAGAAGATCTCAGAACAACTAGAGAGAAAAGACAGATCACTTATAATTGAATGTGTTCCACAGCATAATACTGTTGTGAAGAATGAGGGTAAAAATAAGACATTTTTAGATATAAAACAGAGTTTTCTATCAACAGTTCCCCAATAAAAATTTCTAAAGAATGTATTTTAGGAAAAAAGGAAAATTGTTTTAGAAGAAGGTCTGAGATGTAGGAAGAAATAGTGGGCAGAGAAAATGTTAAACATAGATCAATCTAAACAAACAGTGGCCATATATAGCAGTTGTCTAATTTGTGGGACTAAAAGACAGAATAATAATACTGGATAACAAAGCATGTCAGCTAGAAGGCAAGTTATCAGAGTTCAAGCATTCTAAGATCTTTGTATTATTTGGGAGGAGTGTATAGATATTGATTAACCTCACATTTAAAGTTGAATATGGAGGGCAGAATTTCAAGGGTAACCACTAAAGAATAGAAATAGTGTCTATCTTCCAAAACAATAGATAAAAACTAGAATAATGAGAAAGAATTCAATCAGTGCAAAAGATGACAAGGCACCAGGGGAAAAAAATCATAACAAGCAAAATAAACAGAATAAGATAGTGAAAATAAATCTGAATATCAGAAATCACAATAATTGTAAGTGGACTAATGTTGCCTGTTAAAGAGCATATATTGAAAGACCTGGAAAAGTAATCTAGTTTATCTAGCTTATGAGCTACTTAAAGAGACACTCTCAGAACATTAGGACACAGAAAGGTTGAGTATAATTGGAGGGGAAAAAGATATACTAGATAAATACTAACCAAAGAGTGCTGATATGGTTATGTTAATATCAGTGAAATAGATGTGAAAAGAAAAAAGTGGTATGAGGAAGGAAAGGATTACTACATAATATTCATTTTCCTAAAGGGGGAAAAAGTCTAAACTTGTATGTACTTAATAAATGCCTCAGAATCTGTAAAGCACAAATAGAATTATCAGGCTAAAACAGATAAATCCATAATCAGAATGGGATAATTTTAATATATTCCTCTTAAGTGATAGGAAAAAAATACCAGATGAAATAAGTATAGATACAAATGATTTGAATAATGTGATTAACAAATTTGCCAAATGGGCAAATGTAGAGTACTACTCTGACAAATATACAACTTTTTTAAAGCACACCTGGAACACTCATAAAAATTGGCCATGTATGGGCCAGCCCGGTGGCGCACTGGAGAGTGCGCCGCTTGGGAGCGCGGTGGCGCTCCCGCCGAGGGTTCGGATCCCATGTGGAGACCGGTTCCCGCTCACTGGCTTGGCGCGGGCGCAACACCGAGGGTTGCGATCCCGTTGCTGGTCCCCGGTGCAGGCGCGACACCGAGGGTTGCGATCCCGTTACCGGTCAGTAAAAAAGACAAAAAGAAAAAAAAAAAATTGGCCATGTACCGGGCCACACAACAAGTCTCAGAAAGTTTCATATAAATGAAGTCACATGGAATATTCTCTGATCCCAGTGCAAATAAAGCTACAAGTCAATATAAGAAGACAATTTTGAAAACTCCCTATGTTTGGAAATTTAAAATATATGTTATGAATAATTTATTGCTCAAAGGAAAATGTTAAAAATTTAAGAATAGAACTGAATGATAATTACTACATTCATATAAACTTGTAGAATTTGCTAGCATCTACCTACAGGGAAATTTTATAAAGAAAAAAAGGCTGAATATCAGTGAGTTAATCTAACTTAAGAATTTGGAAAGAGAACAGAATAAACCTTGAAGAAAAAATGAAAGAGATAATAAGAAAAGTAAATGAAATAGAATACAAAAGTACTGTAGAAGCTAAGCAAAGCCAAAAGTTTTAGGAAAGACTAATGCATTAGTTAATAAATAATTACTTAATAAGTCTCTGGTGATATTGAGCAAGAAAAGAACAAATATGTAATTTTAAGAATTAAAAGGAATATACAGTTCAGCAGAGGGTAAAAAGTTTATGAACAACTCTATGACAAATTTGAAAACTTAGACAAAATGGCAAAATCCTAGAAATTTTTACCAAAACCAATTCTAGAAGCACTATAAATCCCAAATAGTCTTATAGCCACTAAAATTGTGTACTACTGATTAAAAATCTCTCCACTGAGAAAGCACCAGATCCACAGAATTTTATAGGAGAGTTCTATCAGACTTTCAGGAAATCTACCATTGCAATGTTATACCAACTCCTATAGTGAATTAAGAAACTGTGCCCATTTTATAAGTCTGGAATAACATAGATATGGAAACCCAACAAGGGAGGTATAATTAAGTGAAACTGGAGCCCATTGGCATTCATGAATAGATAGATGATGCCTTTATTTTGTTTATAATTTTTCTATCACTTAACTTCAGTAATTCATTTCTGAAAATGACATTTTCCATGCAAGCATTCTAGCCAGCTGCCTATTTTCCATATTTTAAGTTGGAAAAATTACAGTGTGTTTCATGTTAACCCCAAACCCTCAACCAAATTCCTTAAATATACAGTCAGCTCTCCATATTTGTGGTTTCCACATCCATGGATTCAACCAACCATGGATAGAAAATATCAGGAAAAAAAAAAATTCCACAGAGTTCCAAAAGCAAAACTTGAATTTGCCGCGTGCTGAGTACTATGTTGAATTCACACGGATGAAGTGATGTGTAGGCATTGTATTAGGTATTATAAGTGTTCTAGAGATGATTTAAAGTATATGGGAGAAAAAAATAAAGTATATGGGAGGATGTGCAAAGGTTATATGCAAATACTGTGCCATTTTATTTAAGGGACTTGAGCATCCTTAGATTTTGGTTTCCTTGAAGGGTCCTGGAACCAATCCTCCATGGGTACCAAGGGAAGACTATATTTATTTATTTTATTTTTTTGATGTAAGTAATCATTTCTTTTTTATTTTATTGATTATGAATATTCATGAGATACAAAGCTGATTGTCACCTCTCGGGCCCAAGCTGTGAAGGCCAGATTCATATTGGCAGCATACCCATTACCACAAATTGCATTTGTACCCCGTGTCCCCACCCAGTTAACCCCAACCTCCCTCCCCCTCTCCCACCCACTCCACTTTGCATCCCTAGGTATGTTCTTTCCCTCTCCAAGTCCAATGCATCACTGTGGTCTTTCTTTCCTTCCTTCTTTCTCTCTTAGCTCCCACATATGAGTGAGTACATGCGGTATTTATCCCTCTGTGCTTTACTTATTTCACTCAATGTAAGTTTCTCCAGGCTCATCCATGTTGTTGCAAATGGGAGAATTTCATTCTTTTTTATGGCTGAGTAGTATTCCATTGTGTATATATACCACAATTTCCTTATCCAATCATCCATCAATGGACATTTAGGTTGGTTCCATGTCTTGGTTATTGTAAACAGAGCTGCAATGAACATGGGAATGCAGGTATCCCTTTGACATGATGATTTCCATTCTTCTGGGTATATACCCAGAAGTGGGATTGCTGGATCATATGGAAGATCTATCTATAGTTATTTGAGAAACCTTCATACTGTTTTCCATAGTGGTTGTACTAATTTACAGTCCCAGCAACAGGGAAGACTATATTTAAAATCAGCAAAATGCCTATACATATGTAGCAATCGGTTAGGATATGAAATGCTTAAAACATGGTTTCCTGATTACCAAGTTTTGATATAATTGTTACTAAACGGTTGCTTTGTATACAGTAA